TAGCCTAATAAAGTTCCTAGAAGTATACGGATTCTGACTGCTTCTTTCAAAGCTTATGCTGGTATTTCTGAATTGTTCTTCTTTAGCATCGAGTCACTGGAAAAATAAATTAAACGCATTTCAACCTGAAAATTTTAGACAGAATAAATATAGTCATTTCAAAATATTCAATTTTCCAGATATTTTGATTTTTCGAATGGTTTTTTTTTTTTAGAGCAATGATCGATTTTTCAAAGATCGAATATATTTATTCTGTCTTAAAATTTTAAGATATTTTCCTATTCAATAGACCTAATAATAAACAAAGTTTGTTTATTTCATTTTGACAGTAATCCAATACCAAAGGAAAAAATTCAGAAATATATGCATAACATGATAGGACTTCGAGTGCTTTTAGGATTTTTACTAGGATACTATCTTATGTCTATAGAGAAAGAAAAATCATTGACATCGGACAGAGACATTTGAGGCAAAACAATTGCATTGAACTATAATATTCATAAACATAGCTAATCAGAGAATTCGTTTCTTCTGATTATTAAAATGATTTGACAATACTCAAATTGTCAAAAGAATGTTTGAATAATGACAAGTTTTAATTTTTCAAAAACAACATCTATATATTAATAATATAATGTGTTATATAAATGAAATTAACAAAAAAAAAAATTCTTTTCATTTACGATTAAAAAAATATTTAGATTCAAATAATTTTCAATATGGTCAAGAATCTTCGACACCAAAACTTGATTTTAAGGAAGTATGGAATCGAACAAGTGAAACAAATACGACTGTATATTTTGGTAATTGTGGTGATGTTCATGAAGAATTAGTTCGTTCATGTTTTGAACCATATGGTCAAATACTAGAAATACGTGTATTTAAAGAAAAAGGATATGCTTTTATTCGGTAAAATTTTTTTTTTTCTTAAAATTGTGAAAAATATAAAAATAAAAACAAAAATTTAAATTATAAGATACGCTACAAAAGAAAATGCTTGTCAAGCTATTTGTCATATACATGGTTCAGATGTTCATGGTTATACAGTTAAATGTGGTTGGGGACGTGATGAATCAAGTAATACTGCAAATAATGTATCTAATTATGGAAGTGGTATGAACAATCAAAATTATAAAAATAATCAATATGATTCTGTAAGTTAAATAAATTAAAAATGATTTTATAAAAAAAAAAACAATCTAAAAGCAGTGTTGAAGTATAGAAGTGAAAATTTGAATTCGCTCACAAATCGTGTGCAGTAGGAAACTTCGAATCTGTAAGGATCCACAGGTTTCTACGTGATAGATGTCTTAGCAATGTGCTTTGTCTCCGTCATAGACGTTGATTTATAATCATGGATTTTATATGAATAAAAACTTGTTATAATATATGAACTATTTCCTCATGGCATTTTTCGAGGATTACGTAAAAGGATGGTGAAGAAATGTGTCCTAAGATATAGATAATAAAACAATCTTCCTATAATTAGCAACAACAGTTACATTATGTTCCATATTTTAATCCTACAGAAATTGTGCTAACAGCATTTTTTTTTGTTAATTAATTTTAGTATTCTCAAAATTCCTATGGTCCGCCAGTTAATCAGAATTATATGGGTTTGTATTTTTTTTTTTGTTCATCAAAAATATTTTAAATAATTTTGTTAAATTGAAGGTGGTGGTGGTCGTGGTGGTAATAATGCTGGTTATGGCAAGTACGGCAGTAATTATCAACAACCAAATTATTCACAACAACAACAACAACAACAGTACTATAATTCTCAACAACAGTGGAATAATAATGGACCACAATCATGGGATCCTTATTCTCAGTATGATCATGAAACTAGTGTAGTTTTGTTTTTTTAAATATTTTATTTCTATAGGTCTGCAGTTGGTGGTTGGAATAATAATAATAATAATAATAATTATGCACCCAATTCAAATCAATATTATGGTCAGCAACAATCCTATATGTATTCTTCCAATTCAGGTATATAAATTTCTTTATTTGTCAAATGAAAAATTGATAAATAAATTTTTCGTTTTAGGTTGGGGTCCATCACAACGTTAGTCTGTTAAATCGACTTTATTTTTTCTTGATCGAAAATGACATATTTTTTGTTTTGATGAGAGAGAGAGAATTCATTACATTCAAACCAGTTCTTTTTTTTTTCTTTCTATTTGTAATTTGTTTTGTGCAGATCACATGATTATTTTTACTCTTTTCTCTCTCGGGCGTTTTGTACGGTCTCACATCGAATCTTAACTATCTTCTTCTTTCTTTCGAATGGCCGTCGTAGACGCTTCTTTATTTGTTTGTTTTCCCTTTCTATATATAACAAACGTGTTTTCTTTTCGGTGTTTTTGTTTTTGTCTTCTCGAATTGTATAACAATCTGCACGATGATACTGAAGGAAAAATAACGACGTAGTAGAATTATATTATTTTTAAGATGATTTCGAATGAATAATGGATATGCCTGCAGTTAAATGGAATCCAGGTTTTGTCTGAAAATAGTAATTGATATGGAAGGAATAAAAACTATTGAATTGCGTTGTTGGAAAAGCTGCGATAGAGGATTGAATGGATGTGTCTAGCGATATTTTCAAAACGATAGGAGAAGAAAAAAAAAATTCGAACGTAAGAGGTGTGTGCGTACATATATTAAAATATTTGAGAAAAGAAAAATGTGTATCAAGTATACTTCAATGTAATAAACTAAGATATTGCACAGAAATGAAGCAGCTGTTTCTCATAGATAAGCACTTTTAATAAACATGTTAATTCTACTCAATATCCATTGTATAATTATATAAATTTTTTTTTTCGTATGAACATAAATTGATAGAAAAGAATTTTTTTAGAATTTCAAATATTATCATGTTGTCTTTTATATACTTTTTAATTATAATAAAAATAACTAAGACAAAATATTTCATTAGTTTTTGTTTTTTATAGTTTCTTATCTCGAAAAATGGCATTCTATTGAAGAAAAAAACAGACCTATTGACCTCTGCTTTACATAATATTACAAGGCACCACATACATTAGCATATTTAAGCTAAATCGAATATTAATATTTTTCTTGATCAAAAATTACTTTCATATGTTCTTTATTTAGAAACATTAGCATGAAATTCTGGTTTTTTTTTATTCGTCTAATTTACAGAAAAGTATAACTAAAAAGATTGCTTATTCATAACATAAATAAAAATAGATAATAATACTATAGAAAAAGATGTAACTGTAAATATTGTTATCCATTTTCAACGATAGAATGCACTACTATGGGCACAGTATGCGGTTCATGGATATTTATAAAAATCGATCGCCGAACAGGGTTGACGTGATTTGCCTCTTTCACCTTCACGTTTGATTCAGTCATTCAACCGTGAGAATAAACCAACAAAACCACATATCGTCTACCTCCGACTATTTCATCATTCTTACGTTTCTTAATGCTTAGTTTTTTTTAGTTGCATAGATTGTTTACGCTTCATCTACATTATGGCAAATATTCATAGGATGCATGTGACATTGACAATATTTGAAAATAAAAACAAAAATCCTGTGTCAGATGATCAATTTGCAATAGTCCATCTGTTTTTTTTCACATATAAAACAAAAAGACTTCCAAACAATATCATTATTCACCATATCTTTCGGCGATCAAAAAAACATCAAACTATTAGTGTCATTTTTAGAAGTCGAAATATATTTACGTATTTTCCATATAGAAATCGTCTCATTAGAAGGTTCTTTTTCCCTTTCACCTTTTGCCGGCAATGATCGAATTAAATTTTTCTTTTGTACACTTTTTTCTTTTTTCTATCTTGGCTCGAATCCAGTATATCGATATGCTGATGAAACAAACTAGAGAGAGAATAAGAGAAATAAATCCACCAATAGAAATGCATATCACAAAACACACCTCCTGTTTTTTTTCTCTCTCTGCTCTCGTCATTTCATCATGCTATCTATGTTAACAATGATATTATAAATACAGACGATGCTGACCCATTTTCTTCATATTTTAAAAAAAAAGATTAAAAACTTCAAACAAGACATACATATAACTATTAAAGATTTTCTTTTTCTGCAATTGCAATGGATTTTTTTCGTAAGTTTTATTTTACTTATTCAAATTTTCTTTTATTGTTTTCTTTTATTTAATTAGACGTACTAAATAACCTTCAAAGTAGACTACTAAATTTAACAGTAGGACAATTACCAAAACGAAAACAATTTACACTTAAAGATGTTTCAGCACATTGTACTGAAACAGATTGTTGGATGGTTATACGAGATCGTGTTTATGATGTAACAGATTTTATGAGAGAGGTATGTAGATAAAATAGATTCATATCAAAAAAATTTTTATATATTTAAAAATTTTTTTATTCTTGCTTTTAGCATCCAGCTGGTTCTGATATAATGCTTGAATATGCTGGAACAGATGCTACTATGGCTTTTGCTGATAAACCTCATAGTTTAGATGCATGGGTGATATTAGAAAAATATTTAATCGGCGAATTAGTGCCTGAAGAACGGATGTTTGATGATGATTATTCATCTTAGGATTTATACATGTTATGTAGTCCTTTACGTTTTAATATTATGTATGGTGAATTTTTGTCTCACATCTATGTATATAGTGTAAAGACAACGACACGTTGTATTCTTCTGTTCTTTTTTTTATTAGTTTTTTTTTTTTTTTGTATCGTCTTCATATTGATTAGTTGAATGCAATAAAAAAAAAGTATAGTCGATGCATAAAAAACCTTGTCTATAGTTATTCCAGCTGGCACAAAACCCTTAATTACATTTATTGAAGCTGTAATAACTTTTTTCCCATGCTTTAAGCAAATATTTATATTAAAAAATTTCGAAAGCAATATATTGTGATTTTTTGTTATCAAATTTTATCATCAATCAATACACAAAACGGGATAAAAAAAGAAAATATAGAAGAAAAAAAAAATGTTTTTTATATTAAGTTCAAATTGATGGTATAACATTAACATAAGGATCTTGACAAAGTGAGGCTGGTATACGTTTACCAAATGAATGTTTTGGTGATGAACGTCTATTCGAAAGAAATTTACTGTCATCATGAGCACCAGGACCTGGTGTTATATCTATTTATGTAAAAATAAAAATAAAAATAAACAAACTAAAAAAAGAAAAAGAAGGAAATGATTACCTATTGATTGATTAGTTGTTATTTTTGTTCCACCTATTCGTGATTTTAATGTTATTGGTGTACTTTTTGCTGTTAATTTTCGAAAAGCTGTCGTTGTATCATATGTATCCGGAGCAGGATTTTTGTCTGATATTAATGTCGGACTATCTTGTAGACGTGTTGCAATAGACCATGCTGGAAAAGTAGGTTTTGTTGTTTGAAGACCTAATGTTGGTTGTACATAATAATGAAATGGTGTTGGCCAAGCACATTCACGATTAAAATCAACTTTTGTTGTAAATGGATTTGAATTAGCAAACCATTGTTTTTGCCAAGCAGTACGTGAACCACCTTCTACATGGAACAAACAAAAAAAAAAAAAAGAAAACAATTTTATTTTTAGATTTGTTTCGTTAAAATACTTTTTTCAACTAAACATCTCGTTCCAAATGTATATGCAGGAGCATTTTTTTCTCGACATGATTTACGTGGTAAAACATATGAACATGGTGATGGACTACCATTGTCTTCAACATATTGTACAATAAAATGACCAGTTATTGGATGAAGAAATACAGGTTTTTCTCTAAATAATTATCTTATTAGAAATTGATTAAATTAAAAAAAAAAAATTTTAATTTTGATAATCAAAGTTTGTTTTTTTTTCTTTTTTTTTTGAAAATAATGTCTATATGATGTTAATTTTCACACGGTTTAGCCTAAATCAAAAAATCAATATTTTACAGAAAGAGATGTGCTCGTGATAAAAGGTCAAATTATTTTAAAACGACGGAAATTTATCATAAGACCGTCTATGAATTAAAAAAATACATGAAATAAATGATAGTAACCCTATTTTTTTTTTCAGTTTCTTAACCTTTACTAGACATACTTATACATAAGTGAAATATCTGTTGGCAATATATGAGGAGTATCTTCTCTTAATGAATTAGTTTGATTTGATGTTGATCTAATACGATTATCATCTTCTGGTGTTGTTGTTGGACGTGTATCATCTCGATGATTTTGTATTATTGTATTATCTAAATTTCCTAATTCAATTTGAAATCTTTCCGATCGTACAGGTTCATATTGTAATAATGGACTTCTAAATGCTGCTCGTTGTCGTTTAAGTGCTAAACGTGTTGGTACAAGTAAAGTTTTATTTTTTAATAAAGATGCTGAAAATTTTTGATAATTTTCTTGACGTTTTGAAACTCGATGAGCAAAATTTTGTGCTAAAGTAACTAATGATATATTATGTACATGTTTTGTTATTGGTGTCATAGTTGTTAATGTTGATGTTCCTAAATCATGAATAATCTTAGATTTTGCTGGTACTGAACGACTTCGAATAGATTTTGAAAGTAATGGTTCTGTTACATCAATCATTGTATTGACTTTCAACTATACTTTTTATGTAGAAATGTTAAATGACATCAACATGTGATTTTATTTTAGTGTTACTTATCGATGCAGACATCAAACAAATGTTTATTATTCTTGTTTTGCTATTTGAAGAAATTTCAATTTGACAGTATTGATTAGTTACATACAACAGAAAGAAGAAGAAGAAGAAAGAAATGTACAAAAAGACAAATAAATATACTTTTTTGTTGATCAAAGAGAAATCTATTGAAAAGAAAATAAAATTAATAATTTTAATATAAATATTGAATTTTAAAATGAATTCATGATGTTTTTCAATAAGATATTATTTTTTCGTCTATAATATTATAAAGGGTGTGTACTAAGGTCCGAACCCCTTTTCCAATAAATTATTGAAAAAGAGGATCGGAACTTAGCACACACCCTCTATGCACATAAAATCACAAAGAACGAAAGAAAAAAAAGACGAATAAATACATGTAGGCGTTTATCAGATATATTATTCTAAGCACTAGATGTGTCTTTTTGACCTTATTCGAACATGATTATCAGGGCAAAATTCATACAATTGTGTTTAGATTAAGGACATTATTTGCATTTTGTAGACGAAATTTGAAGGACATATTAATAATAAATTATATTTCAAATGGTTACGTTTAATTAGAAATTTGAATTAGAAGAAAGATCAAAAAAAAAAAAATGAATAATTTTATTGTCTTATATAGTCGATGTAATAAATTAAAAAGAATGACTTATTGTATCTTTATTATAAATATTAATATGTGATATAGAAAAAAAAATAGATGAATGTAAAAATATATTGTTATTGTTTATAATTAGATAAATAAATTTTTAATAATGAAATCGACCAAAAAATGAAGCATAATAAAATTAATATGAAATATAAATAGTTTGTTTACAACGAGGACATGTTAATGATTTTATTGAACCTTTTGATTGTTTTGCTCTATCCAATAATACGAATAAAAAATAATATTTTCTAATACAAAAAAATTCAACTTACATAGAACAAGCTTCACTTTCTTTTTTTGATTCATCATCAATCATATGTTTACTTGGATCAATACTAGTCGACTTAATATAATTATCTGATGATATAGTTGGTGTTTCATTTATTATTGATGACATTACGTAATTAATTGTTTCATCCATATGTTTAGCCTTAATATTATCTGCACTTGGATCAACCAAATTGCATGCTAGGAGCTGATAGGCAGTAATTGACAAGTTCAGTATCAGTTCGGATCTAAGGTGCAATTGAAAACATTCTCTGATCTTAACTGATCTGCTCGAACAGTTTAGTTCAGTTCCTACGAAGTGTTCAGACAATTATTTTGGCAGGAATTGATCAATTTCAACAACTCAGTTTCTATCACAAGAACTATTCGAATTGATACAGTCCGTTTTATACGAACTGATTTTTTCAAATAGTTCTTTTGTACATTTGAGTTGGTGCTTGAGTTTTGAGTTGTTCGATCCCTAGTGATAGACAATAACATGATCACATCATTCGAGTATTTGTCAAGGGGAAAACAGTAGACTTCAAGGGACTCGATAGGACTTTAAAAGACTTCAAGACCGAAGCTTCTGCAGTTTCTTATTTTGGTATTTGTTTTTATTATATTGGATGATTAATTATCAGATACAGATAACAATATTAGGATAAATTGAAGTATCAAAAGGACTAATATATTGGTCATTGGTAGAAGTTTATACAAAATTATTTTATCTTATCAATGATAATGTAGATAAATAGTACTATCTAGAATTATTGATGCCATTAAAGAAATTTTGTTTGTCGTTAAGTAAAACAAAATACATGTAGCACAAATCTCAGATCATTTCTAGTCATTACCTAGGACAACAAGAATAGAAACGAAAACATGTTTTTCAATAATATTACAGTGATTCATATAGTGAAAAATATTTTCGGAATTAGTTAATTGAAATATGATAATTAAAGTGCTTTAAAAATCGAATAACTACACTGATTGATGAAAATGGATTACAAAGTAATCCAAAACAATAAAATTCTAAAATAATTGAAATTCTGTTTATATTTTGATAGAATCTATCAAGGAAGAAAGAGTACAGATATTCCCGAGTAAAATCTTGAAGTTCGTGATTTGTCCTTTGCTACACATACTGAAAAATGAGTGCCACAAAAAACATTGATAGATTCTTCTGCACTTTCATAGATCATCATTATCTCATAAATAAATCTTTTCTATAAGATATGTTAAGTTCAAATTATTTTGTAATTGATTTCCGTCATAAACTACAAGACTAACTTCCTTTGCAAAATTCAGTGACCAATGCTTTAACCCTTCGTTGTTGTTATGTAGTTCAAGTGGACCCACTTCACAGGTTTTGTGTAATATTACATTAAGATTTCCTGTTTCGGACTAGTCTTCTCTAATCTTTAGTCTTGTGTTGATGCATAATATGCTTATCAGAAATCGTGAATAGATCTAAAAGAGAACAACGCAGCTATGAACCCACAACAACATCGGTGTTACAAGTATCATCTTTCGTCTTGTTGCAGCTGCCATCTGTTGTCTTTTAAAGAGAAAAATGTCTTCCCTTTTTATCTGTAGACGATAACATATATATCAACGCATGCGCATATTTCTACCATTCCAGACTAAAATGATTCAATCTATGAGTTTTGTTTTTAGTTACCTTCGATGCTTCTATGAAAACAGTTGGGGTGTTGGTATAGGACTTCTCCTTATCCACACCTCCGCACCCAAACCCACACTCACAGCTACAGTCACACCCTCTTTTTCGGTGTCGTTTTCCGCTACTTTGTCTTTCGCTATTTTGCTTTTCACTGTTTTTTTTGCTGAAAAATCTTTCGCTTAAATTTTTTTCGCTGGATGGACACCATACTACGCTGACAAGCTTTTTTTATCGTTTCTGATCTCAACGATAAATCGGATGGACTCTTATTAAAATAATCAATCGATAACGCTCTTTAGAAATCAGTTAATATTTGATAATAAATTTCTCATAGTAGTGTATATCATAATGTCTATTTAGTTTTCTAGTTCGACTTTCCGATGGATATCTAATATTTCATACTATACTGATACGAAAAAAAAACTTAATGAAATAAAAGAGACATTGCTCAGAATAAAATGTTTGGTATTTAATCGTAAATCACTATTTGTTTCATATAATTTCTTGTTAATATCCGTTTGAACCGCTTTGCATCACATTTCAAAGTGAAGTGAAACTCAAATATCATCTAACTATCCTTGTGTTCTTTGTTACTGTATAGAATAAAAAGAAAAATATTTAGTTTTTTCCATGTATTTTCTTTTATTGAAACAATTTATAACAAAGGAAAATATTGATGAAAATTTTTTGGACGAACAAATGATTGACATACATCAAGACTTTTCAATTTATCAAAATTAAATTGCGTTGCATCATTAGTAAAATTGTTTGTTATTGTTATGAGTGATTTATATTCAATGGAAAGATTTGACAAACGAGATAAATGTATATTTTTTTTCAGAAGAAATAGTTTAGCATAATCAATATGTGCCCATTTTAGATGAAGAAATTTGAGATAAGGAAATGTAATTAATGTTGATGAATGTTGATTGTCTTTTTGTGGATAATCATTAGATATATATAAAAATTCGAGAAAAGGAAAGTCTTGAGAGATGAGCTTGAATAATTCATTTTCAAAAGGAATTCCATCATTCATTTTCAATTGTCGAACTTTATGAAACATACCACCTTGAAAAGAATTGTTGAGCTTAACAAAATATTCGAAGCCATACGGAAGTGAATAGATATGACATTCACCATGGGATAAAAATGGTTTAGGATGAATATAAATATAGGACGCTACTTGTTGATATCCTCTTCCAATAAAACTACGTTGAATATCTTCATTCGATTGAAGTTTAAGTCTAACGGTCCTAAAGGAGACTATTGTTGTAATATTAAAAGTAAACTTCTTTAATTGTGTCATATAAATAAGAAATTGTTCATATAATTGAATACCATCAATGTAAGTTGAACCAGATCTTACTACTGTTAAATATAATTTCAATTCTTCAAGATTTATCATTCGACGAAGTAATGGAAGAATTAAATCATCATAATGCCTTGTGTAATTAGGTGCGGTAAACGAAAAATATTTCAATTTGGGAAGTTTTTTCTATAAAAAAAATAAAATTAAGAATATTTATTTATTTATTCGAGGGTTTTTTTTTTTATTCTCTAAATATAATCATTGAAATAATACTTACTGTTGGATTTATGTATTCTAATGGACAAAAAGTAGATGATACATTAATAATTAATGTTGATAAACAAACAAGAGGTCCATCAAGCAGATAAAGACAATCAACTAAAGTTGAGACATTGATTTTTAATTTAATTAAAGTTGAAGGTATACAATTTTCCCAGAGCAAATAAAAAAGAGAAGGTGAATAATTTCGTGTAGGAAACATATGACAAAAATTCAAAACAATTAATTTTTTACATAAAGATAAGATTAATGTAAAAATCTTTGAACCAATTTTCGAATCATGTTTTATTGTCTCTTTAATATCAATATTAAGATGTGTTATTTGTTTGGTAAGATCACGAAGAATTAAATTATCTTTAATTTAAAAAATAATAATAATAATTAATTTTTTATTTTTAAATTCTAATGACAATATTAAATACTATACCTGTTAAATATTGATAAAGTATTTCTTCTTGAAAATTTATAAATGATAATGAATATAATTGAGGATAATTCGATGCAAGAAGAATTTGATTTATTGAATATTCTTCAACAGTAAGTTTATATATTTGATTATGAATTCGAGGTAAAAATTTTTCACAAATTCTTGAAAGAACTTGTGGATCTATTAAAGAAGTCTGATCGTACAATGAAGTGGTATCCATAACAGTAGTCATATTAAGATCATGAATATAAATAGAATCAAATACTAATCGATTAAATCGTGGATTAACATCCACAAATGAATGAAAAACATCAATCGTATTGAGTTTTTGAAAAATGATAAATAAAATTTCATTGGGTAAATCGAGTATATTGAGATAATTGTTATTTAAATTATTCATGTTTAACTCATTCAATGTATTCATGTCAATCTATATATAGATATATTTCTCATTACCGTCTGTAAAAACAATAAAGAATAAATATCAATGTCGCTATGTTGTTCTATGATGAACGTAACAAACAGACTAGACTAATTCAAAGCAAACGAACCAATAGAATTTGTAAAAGTTAATTGTGTTTCTCAATTCACTCAGAATTAGTTCAATCTGTTTGACTACCGAATAGATGATGATATTTTTCATTCTGCCTAATAGTTTTCGGTCAGCTTATTATTTTCTTGTCAAAAAAAAATATTTCTTATGTAACATGTTTCTTATAACACATATTATTATGTTTAGAATAAAACAAAATAATGATTCATTGCAATTTTTTTATCACTTGATGAATACATTTAATACAAAATAAAATATATTAATTAAACATTAGAGGTCCAACTTATAAATTGTTACAGATTTAATCGAATAAACGTTCTATTTTTGATTTTATTTAGTTAAAGACAAAAATCAATATTATAAACATAGACTGTAATTGGTTTGATCGAAATCCAGAGATTTGTTGAAGCCAAAATTGAAAATGTCTTGATCGATGCAAAAAGTGAAATCAAAGCGTGTAATAGTTATATATTCTATTACTTTTAAATAAATTCTCTTACGAGGAAACTACTCCAACTGATTCCGAGCTTTCGACTTCATATTTTGATTATAGGTAGGCTCCAGTGAGACTAAGAAAATCGTTGAAGCGTTCGTATTTACGAGCTGCTAGTCCAAAATTATAGTCGTTTTACTGAACATCAATTAAATATTAAGATCGTTTTAAAAATACTCATTTTCATCAACGCATAAATTCAAAACTCTAAAAAAAGTTTTTTCCTCATGATAAATCAAAGATTCGTGAATCACAACGTCACATTATTCTACCTCGTTCCACTGTCGCATGCCAGCTAAAATTTTTGGCGACAGAGCAGTTTCATATTATTATAAGATTTTACGATTTCTCCACTGTTTTGAAGATACGATTGTAATTTGAATGATTCATGTAGTCAAATATTATGATCGTATACTTCTATGACCATATATATATATAGAACAATAGAATCATATATGTCGAGAAATATAACGTAAAACGCGGAAATCGTAGACTATCCGCGCATGTACGAAGATGATAAACGAGCGTTTTTGTCTCCATAAATTATCGCACTTCTCTTTAGACAACACGGAAATATACGATCATCATGCTGAGTCTTGTAAGCCATAGTATCATTCGGAGTACGACTGTTTACCAGTAGACACGCACCTACATATAGAAGAAAGTCTACTTTTGATAAGCGAATGAAGAATGATCTAATGCATTATACAATAAAGCGCACAAGTAGAGAAAGTTAAAATGTAACTCCGACGCAAACCTACTAAGTTTGGATTTTTTGTGATTGTATCTATGCCTAACTGAACAGCGACATCTAACTTTTCCTATTGATATTTTTTTAGCGGAATTTTTCTACTTCAGATTTATATCAGTAGAAAAGTTTTTTTTTTAAAAAGTTGCCTCTCTCGTATTGCTTATGTAGTGAGGAAAGACAGGGCGAGATCAGGCGAAAGTGAAGCCTGCGCTGAAGAGATGGAACGATGGTGGGATGATATTTTAGCTATCTCACGAGTCTCTGTAAAAACATATAATACAATATTGCGATCTGTTCGATTGTGACGGAATTCTGTTTTAAGAGATGGTCATGTAATCCTCGACGTTTATTTCCTCAGAATCATTTGTTAAAAAACAATATTCATGAAAAAAAACAAACAACTTTTTTCATCATCCTTCTGATTATATGAGAACTGTGTTATGAAAGTATAAGGTACATATTGGATATTACTACCAAAATTTTGTCTTCAATTCTGGTAATGAAAATAATTCGGAACTATCTATCATAAGCCAACTTTAGAATTAGACAGTAAGGTTCTAAATAATTGACATCAAGATAAGATGAAAATACAACAAAGTAAGCCAAATATAAATATCAATAAAAATTAAGTATGTATACATATCTCTTAAATTACAATATGTCTATCATTAAGTCAATCATAAAGCAAAGATCAACTTTTTCTCGATGATTTTCATTGCCATCGGAATAGATTAGTTTTGACTCAGTACCATTTTCATTAGAACATAAACTATTCATCTAACGAAATTGTTCTACAAGATGATCATATTCGTTTTTTGTTGAGTTTTATAGTTCAATTTGACCTAGACAAGTGAATATGGTCCTAATAGTTTATTATATTAACAAACAAAATTCATTTAATTAATTTCAATCATTCAAAATCTTATTATCAAATATATAGTCAATCATATCTGCTTGTGATCCAAGTAAATTAATTTCTGCCGCATGACACATTTTAAATAATAATTCTTCTTTAATATCATTGCACATTTTTTTATGATATACATGTTTTAAACCAGGTTCAACAGCACGAAATATATAACATTCAGTTGAAATATTAACAAATTGTTGAAATAAATTAACATCTTCATTTCCCCAATGATAATTATTTATTTCCCATCCACCAATTCGATCTAAATCACGTTTACGTAGAGCTACATTTCCAAAACCATATATAGAAAATAAACCTGAATCTGTTCGTACATCAATTATTGAATGATTATTATTAACAAACATATGTGAAAAAAATGAATAAATTATAGGAAAATAAACTGTACAAGATGATACTGATAATTGATGAATCATTAAACGACGTGTATTAATTAATGATTGTTTTGTAAATATAATATCTACATCAAGAAAAAATAATAATTGATTATGAGAAAAATATTCTGATGCTAATTGACGACCAAGACCACGATTATATATATGTTGAGTTTCATTAATAATTATTAAACGAATAGATAATGGATATCTGACTATTAATTGATTTATTTGATCAATTATAGAATTATTTTGTTGAAAATAAAGTATTGTTAAAGTAAAATATTGTTGTTGATAAGAATCATTAAGTATTTCATATTGAAAATTATGAATAAATCTTAATAATGTTTTATCTCTATTATTTGAAACAACAATAAGATTTAATTGATATTCTTTTTTATTTAAATCAATATTAATTATTTCTCGTGAATCAATATGATATTTATTAACAAATGATTGACGTATATGAAAACGTTTTCGAATAACAGTTGATCGAGATGGAAACATAGAAACTGTACGAGCATTAAGTAATACTTCAACTATTAATTCTAAACCATATCGTGGTATAATACGATGATAACCTAATAAGAATTTACCATTAATTACTGTCCAATTACTAGAACGTTGATGCCAAAGTTTTTGTAAATGTTCTATATAAGATTGAACAGTTATATTAATATATGTTTTCCAACGTGCATCAATTAATTGATAATGTATATCACGTACAAGATCAAATTCCATTGTATTAAAAAATGTAATATAATTTTCTCTATTCGATAATTTCCATATAGATAATTGAAATTTTTTTTGTTGTTGTCGACGATAAAAATTAAATAATTGTTGAAATATTGTTCGATTTTGAATTGGATGAAGAATAAATGCACGAGAAATAATTGATGTTGTAAAATCAATACCAAATAAATAATGTGGACCATAATGATGATAAAATAATACTTTTGAATTATATGCATTTGTACAATCAATATGAACGTGTATTAAAATACATCGACCTAATTCAACATCTTCATGATTAGTACGAAGTTCAGATTTAAAACATTGATCAAGCCATGGTCCTAATTGAATAAGTGTTTTTTGTGAAAGAATTACTCCACTTCCACCCATACAAAAATACTAAAAGAAAAAAGAAAAACTTAAAACAATAGAAAATTAATTTCTACTTTTTTCGGTGGAAAATAAATAGTTGATTCACTTTTTCTTCCTGTTCCACCTTGTCCTATATATAAAGCTCGTTTATGATCAATTGATTTAAGCCATTTAATTAAATCTGGAATATTAACATAAGCATTATCATCTAAACGTAATATCCATGATGTTCGATGTCGATAATATGTATAAAGAAATTTCATAGCATAAAAACTTTTTTTCTGTGGTGGATATTCATTTTCAACATATTTTAATTTAACAATAAAAAAACATGATTGAATATATTTATTTGATTTAAAAAATAATTTTTCTATAAATTCTTCTCTACCTAAATATTTTTCTTCAAGAAATATAATTATTTCAATTTCAATTGTTGATGTTAATAACCATGTTTCAAATATAGCTGGTAAATATTCTATTAAACGTTCATGTGATGATAAAACAGCAATTGTTAAAAATATATTTGATGTATGATTTTGACATGTTTGAAAAGTTCGATATTGAAAATGATTATAAAATGAATTTGATTTTATCATTATTGGTTTTGATGGAAAAGATAAAAATGATGATGATGATGATGAACAATCATTTCGAAGAATAAATTCCCAATAATGTAAACCAAGAAAAAAACCAAGAAAAAAGAAAAATAATATAAATAAACAATGATTCCAACGAGTGAATGCTCTACGCGGCATTCATCGTTTTTGTTATACATAAAAAATAATTATTATTGTCATTATTTGTCTAGAATAAGAATTAGAAATAAAATATTTTTTCCTCATGTACTATATTAATTATAATAAAAAGAAATATATATTTCATCAATTAACTTATCAATTAGATGTTAAAAATCTAAACATAAAATTTTTATCATGATCGGTTGATGAGTTACACGTACGATACTAGACATTATATGGATCATAGGCATTCAAATCTAATGTATTCTTCTGTATTACTTTTCTGAAGTCCATTTACTGACCATTCAATTATTAACCGGTACGATTGAATTATGCAGTAATATAGTCAAGGTCAAAGTTTTATCTCTTTATCTTATTCCTATCATAAACTATTCGCAAGTAAAAACTGTCGAATGACTTTTGAACTATTTGGTATATTTATAATATATAATATAGATTAATTCTTTTAAATAATATTCATATATAAATATTATTTATACTAAACAAAGAATTTTTTAGTCAAGGATTTCTTTATAGATTGATATCGAAAATTACTACTACCTTTATAATCAACCTACCATATATATTATGCGTTATTTTTATTCTTCAGTACATACTAATCTTCCATTTGTATAACATAATTTCTATTTTTCTCTCTTTTTTTTTTCTTTCTTTCGTCTTATACTAATATTGAATTATTGAAAAGGAAAAAAAAAAAACTCAAAGTAAAAAATGTAATATGCAATCATTTGATGTTAATTTGAATTTCGTATCGGATTGCTAACCTTAAAAAAGAAAAAAAGGAAAAATCAAAAAATAATTACCATCATATATATATATATATTAAAAGAAAGTAGAGAAGCTTTATTTTTTACGATTATACTTCTTAGGTTATTGACAAGCAAAATAATAAATCATGATTTCTACATACATGCACCGTTGATTTACTTGAATACAGAAAGCCGTATAAAAACACGAATAACAACCAATTCTTTAACTAATCAAGGACTTCAAAGAGACGAAAGATTGAATGCAAGAAGAAGAAGAAGAAGAAGAAGAAAAAAACGATTAGATTACATGTTTGTTGAAAACGTAAGAGGACATGAGCACGATTGCTTTATTCATATAATATAGAAAGACATGCGTTATACGACATATTGAGTAATGTCTTTCTTTCTTTTTGCTTTATGTACCTCGAAAAAAAAAGAATATTTACTAATTTATTCATAGGTGAATAATATATGAAATTAAATGCGTAATGTAAACAACTTTGTATTTAACACATTTATTTTATTATTTTCTTTGAACTTATATTTTATTTATTTAAACAAGAAAATTAATTAAAATTCTACTGTAAAACACATGAAAGACAAAAAAAAAAGAAGAAGAAAAAGAAAAAAAGAAAGTCTAAAATAAAATTTTGCTTTTTTTTCTAACGATCATCAATATTTGGTTTCTCAATTAAATGTGAACGAAATAATTGAAAAGCAACCATACCACGCATAGCTTTGGAATCATGTTCCATACCTGGTTCCCAAGCTCGACATGTTACACTAATAAGACGATTTAATGGTAAATTTTTAAACTGAACTAATACAAATGGTTGAACATGATCAGGAGCATTTCTATTGTATAAAAACAGAACGAAATCATCTTTATCTTTTGTATATAAAAGCTTACCGATATGGAAAGTAATAATTTGGTATAATACCGTATTTTATTGAACCAGATGGTTTTCCTACTGAATAGTATTTGACATCATGTAAAGCATCTTTATCAGCAGGATTCTATTTTTGTAAAAAAAAAAAAAAAAAACGAAATAAAATTTCGATAAAGAATACAATAGAACATTAGTACTATGATTTGATAAATATGTATCTATTCAAAAGAAAGATTAAATCTTATTTCATTTACAACATACCGATCCTTCACATGTGATATAAACGTCTGGTTTTGATACACTTTTATTACTATGGATATTTCGAAGATCTTGTATACGTGGTGGTAAAGGACCTTTTGATGGTGTCCATCCATAGACCTATAAAGAATTAATTAATTTTTTATTTTTTTGTTTTGAATTTGAAAAACAAAACAAACAAATTATTGAATACTTTATTTAATTTAACAAGAACACATGGTTCTTCATTTTTAAAACCATACATATTATTATCCGAACATGGATGATCTGCTGTATTAACAATATGAAACCAATTAAATGAACATGCTGTACCGGGTACTAATTCTGATGCTGGTTCCACTTCTGAACATTCTTCTATTTTAGCATCATTTCTTTGAATAAGATAAACTACAAACAAACAAAATAAAACGACTTGTTTTTTTTTTTTTTTTCTTTCAAAAGAAAAAACAATAATTAACTAACCATCACGATATAATCGAAGTGATGAAGCAATACGTATTTGTTGATGAGGATCACTTGTTATTCGAATAAGACTATCATCAATTTCTGGTTGAGGTCGAAAACCCATTCCAACTATAAAAAAAGAAAACAATAAAGAAAAAAAAAACAAAATCAAAATCAAAATCATAAATATTTATTTTATTTTTAACAAACCAACAGTAGCTGTTGTTCGTACAGCCATTGTACTATCCTTATTATAATATCTTGGTACTTCACGATCAAGCATCCAAGCAAATGCCGTAAGTAAAATAACAAAAAACATTCCCAAACAAAAATAAAATATTGTATAAAATAAGGCTAATCTAGCTAAAATATATATAAAATAAGTAATATAATTTGATTAACTTTAATTTTTATTTACCCCAATTAAGAGAACTACGACCAAGTAATGTTTTTCTACGTGGATCATACAAAAAGCTTGTACGTGGTTTTTCTACATTTTTATTTTTTGGAAGTATTTCTTCATTTTCAGGAGGTAATTTTCCTTTAATAAAACTAGATTTTCGAACATCTGTATAGGGACTTGGTGGAAGTATATGAATATCACTTGAAACATGTCCTTGTCGAGGATCTTTTTCATCCATTTTATCTATTTCAATCAAATAGAAAAAAGAAAATTTTTACTTTTTATAGTAAAGAAAAAAAAAACAAACCAAACGCACTTTTATGAGGAAATGCTTCGTTCTTGTCTTATATATATATATGATTGCAAATGAAAGGATGATAACGTTAGTATGAAATGTAAGTGTATTCAACCGTAACCAAAATATATGTATATGTTTATGCTTTATACATTCTTTTCTTCTGTCTATATTCAGTGGACATAAAGTATGCATTTATGTTCGAAAAAGAGAGGCAATCAGTTTTTTTTTGTATACATAAAAATGCAGAAAAGAATATACTCCTTGTTTATATATTGAGGATTATATTATGACTAGAAATATGATTTCTATAATTTTAATATCAATTATGAACACGTGTATTTTATACATAGAAAATGAAGAATGTTATTGTCATACATGGACTATTAACAATGATAAAGATAAAGAATTCTTTTGAAATTTTATTTTTAGATAATTGAAAAAACATAAGTTTTTAGTTCATATTCTATCTTGACAAGTTGAGAATAAATTTTGTATTATTCTATATATTTATAATTTCTTTTGTTTTTGAGTTTGTCATTGATATCTTATTGTAAATCTTCGAATATAGAATTTAAATTTTTATTTAAAATGTATTCTCTCGTAAAAGAAGAGTTTCAAAAAAACAAAAATACGAAATAATCAAATGACATATTATCTTTTGTTTTATTTTAATAACTCATTGTATTTTTTTATGATAACAAATTATTAATTAATTTTTAGAGATACCGTAGAAAGAAGAGAAATTTGATAAATGAAAAAAAAAAGAGAATAAAAGTGTGATAAGCAATCAGGCATGACCTTGATGAATATTTTTACTTATTACTGATAAAAATCATGTTTTTTTTTTGGACATAAAAGTTTATAAGTGTGAGTATGTACCATAGCCTTCTTCAATTTGTATAAACATCGAACATGAATAATTAGGAAAACAATGTATGTGAGAAATTTCAATTCATTATATTATTGAAAATATCTGCTTTAAACTGTAAATTAAGAAGATTAATCATATTCCTATCAAATGAATGTTTTCACTATCAAACTAACTAATTTAAAATATGATCTATCCATAACATGTATGGATCGTGAAATTTGAATTTCAAGATATTTACAGTCTCTATCATGTGATCACATTTCAAAATTTTAGCAGCATTTTTTTTGTCATGGTTGGATAGAGCTCGATGAATTACATAAGAAAAAAAACAATATTACACATATTCAAAAGTGATTGTACAACCATCTAAATTTTGTATCTATTATTCTTATATTTAACAATAATAGTATCTTATTGCTTTTGAATATTTATGATATCACTTTTTTTTTCCTCATGCAACTTGCAGAGCTTTATCTAATCACGATAAAAGAAAAATACTGTTGAAATTTGAATATCTCGGTCCACGCATGCTATGATCAGCTCATATTTTAAATTAGTTCGATTGTCAATCAGAGAATTCATTTGATTGGAATATGATCAATATTGTTAACTTACAGAGTAAATAGAGCAAAAGTTGTCATAGGTTCAAAATTCTCAAACGCTTCCTTATAGGTAGCATTGGACTCACAAAGACTAAAAGTTAACTCTCCGTTTTTTTGTAAGTAAAAAGATCAGAATACTGAGTATATTTCCTGAAACACAAGTTTTTTTTTGTTCAACTAGAACTAATCTTATTTGTATACTGTAATAACAAAAACCTAGCGGTATATCATATTTTGTAACAAAAATAAAATAGACACCATAAATATTTTCTTCGAGTTACATTAGAAAGTATTTAGAAGGGGTATCAACTTTTTTTTTGTTTCTATTTCAAAATAAACTCTGCATAGAAAATTTGGTATTTCATTGTAGTTGCATATGTCTTGCCATTAAACAATTTTTGATTTTTTCATGTCTCAATCAACTTGTACCATAAATAAATGTAAACGAATATCACGTGCACTTTGTCATTGTTGTAATCAAGATATATGTTTATTACATTTAAAAGAACATTATGATAAAATTATTTTACAATTAAATCCATTAACAGATGAAATTAGTACAATTGATAATCGATTGATTGAAATAGATATTAAAGAATTTATTATAGAATATTGTAAACAACTTGAACAATGGCGTAATGAATGTTATAAAACTATTGATTATTTATTTTGAAAAAAAATATAAAGAGCTTCAACAAATTATAATTAATAAAATTGATAAACAAAAAAATGAAATTAATTTAATAAAAAAAGAAATTTATCAATTTAATGAAAATTTAAATAATATCAAACATACATCTTTTAAAATTAATATTCAACCATTATTAATTAATGATAATTTAATTGAAATTCAAGAAAAATCCGATCTACATTCAATTCTTTCTTTACCATTTAAAACAATTGATTTTTCTGAAATAAAATCATCAATTATTGCTACAAATGATCAATATTTATTAATTCATCAAAATTTATATTTATATTTAATTGATTATGATTTTAAAAATAATTAAAAAACTTCCTTGGCATTTAGAACGTATAAAAGATATATGTTGGTCATCAACTTTTCATCGATTTATTTTAACAACAGAAAATTATGGTATTTGTTTTGTTTATGAAAATACAATTTCATTAGATAATGCAAATTGTTTTAAACAAGAAAAATTTCATTCTTGTACATGTTCTAATACATCTTTATTTTTAACTGTTGATGATTATGGTTCATCAATAATGGAATATCATTTATTACCATCAATAGAATTAATTAAACAATGGAAATCTCCTTATACATGTACAAAAGATGAATATATTGATAGTATACGTTATAATAATGAAAAATTTAGTTTAATTATTCAAAAATTTCCTGAAAAAATATTAAAAATTGAATTAAGATCTATTAAAACACTTGATCGATTATGGTCTATTCAACTTGATATGGATTTAAAACCTTATCAATGTAGATATTGTTTATTTAATCATCATATATTTTACATATTACACAAGATGGAAAAATAAAAGAAACATATCATTATAATCCAAGACCATATAATGCTACTTTATTCAGAGATAATATATTAGCCATATTAACTGAGAGTGGTATAAATTTTCATAAACTTTAATTGAGTCTATTTTATAGACTTTAAACAAAGCAAAAAAAGGATTTCTATTTTGTTTTAAAAATAAAAATAATTCATAGAATCTTAAAGTCACTTCAAATAATATCAATTTATTTTAATGAACAGGAAAATTTATATAAATTAAACGCTATTTTTTTTTCCCTCAATTTATCAATAGGAATATCATATTAAGATTAGTATTTTCAAAAAAAAACCATGCTAATACTTTTGATAGTTTTTTCGCATAATAATTAATTAATACTAAGGTGTTAACATCATTTTCAATTTTAATACATTCGCTACCTATGACTAGATTTCTTAGAGTTCATTCTCAAAAGTTTTCAATAAAAGGACACTTCAGAATTATTTCCTCAAAACAGAACAACAACTTCTTTTTTTTTCTATCTAGAATTATCATTTCCATAATAGAACAAAAGAATATTTGAAATTCTAATACTACGACCATATTCGTTAACTTCATGAAAATTTTACAAATTCAAATTAATATGTATAAAATCAAGAATTTGTTTTTTTTTGTGGATATAACTACTTTTGATTTCGATATGTCTATCAATAAATAGAAGTTAAAAAAATATCTATAAGATACTTTTGAATGATTTCCTTGAATTAGAAATAAGAATCAATCATTGGATAAAAAAACACTGTTGTATATCATTTGAACTGTTTACGTTTTGTTTTCTCATATGGATACCATTTAAAATTCGTTGATCATAAAATATATTGTTCGGAAGAAGTTTTATAAATCGAGCTTTTGACAAAAAAAAGTACAAATTGTGCATCAATATTTTTCTGTATAAAATGTTCTTCATCGAGATTTATCATTTACTAAAAATAGATCTAATTATTAGCTTGTCGTCTGAAGTATTCAACTATCTATCAGTGTAGATTGTTTATTCTAATTTGTAAGACTTGACACCTTTTGACAAGTTTAAGTGCTTGAACTTCTTATTCCATCGTTTAATATTCTTATTCATACGTGTGTCAGGATGCTCAAAAATGAAATGCTTTATGAAAAACATTACAAGCTGTATAGATTAACAATAAAAATCCGCTTCTATCGCAACCTAGCGATTGTAATACTCGATTGAATCTGGTTATCTTTTACAACTATCAAAACGATATTTATGATGTGCAAAACTAAGTTTAATCATATTTTATACATGTTTTTCGATTTATTTTCCAGGTTTATATTCAAAATGATTTGGCTCATAATACAAAATCTATAGATTAAATAACGAAGTCTATAACAGACAGGTCAAAAAGAGAATCTATATGAGTAGGTAGATTGTGATAAGGAACATTTTTTCATCTTGAGTGAAAAAGCTTTTATTATTTTATTCCAATTAATTGTTTTAAGTATGTGTTCATTCCTATGATACCTATAAAAAGAAAGTCATGTGGTATGGATACATCTTGAGGTTTGTGCAAAAGTCAAGCACATAGAAAAAGAAAAGAAATTCGACTAGAGTTTTTTGTCTATTTGTAATGGCATTTGTTAAGAACAGGAATCGAAGAATGATATACATAAAACTATAAATTATTCGTAGTAAACGAATGATTGCATAATTAGAATTTTTTCTTATAGCTGGATTTTTCATAAACAATGCAAAAACTTTTGTTATTTTAGTATGACTTAAATTTCTTGAATAATAAAAATGTATCACCACGTAAATTCTAATATAGGGTCGATATAAATGTTAACTTCAGTTACTATTAATATCGATGTTCACCAATATGCATTTATATGAGAAACAAATATTCCTTGAGGGAATCAAAACTTATTTTATATTCTTTATAAGAATTTTATCGGACATATTTTCATAGCTTGTTATGCATTTTTACATGATGGAGATGATATTAAAAACAGAATGACGGAAATGTGTTTTTTTGCAAATGACATTTCGATGCTACTTTTTACCACTTTATAGGCAGTAGAGTTCTTTGTCAATCACTTTCAACTAGTATTAGTGAGCATATAGATTATCATTGAATGGAGGCGTTGTTCTAAGTCGGATTATCCATTGTAGAAAGAAAGTGGCAACTATAGTCTTTCTCTTTGATTGATATTGAAGGTCTAACGAGTAGAACGAACAATTGATTCTAGAAAATTGCCCTGCGGTAACAAAATCATTAACTATAAGAATGAAGCGAGTGTTAAAAGAAAAAGAAAGAAGAAAAAAGAACAACGACAAAAATAAAGTATAAAAATCTTCTCGTTTTCTCGTTCTTCTTCTCATATTTACAATCTAACCCATATAGACAAACACTTTCTGTCTTTATATTATAATTTAAATTTTCAAAAATAATGTCTCATCATTGGTTATTGTTATCAATATTTCTAACAATTTTCTTATTACAAATATCATATCTTCATTCTATTTCAATAAATTCTGATATAAATAATCATATTATTGATGAAAATTATGATAATCAAAATATAAAAAATATTCTACTTCATCTAATTAAAAATACTCTTAATGAATCAAATCCATATAAACAAACAATTTTACTCAATCAATTACGTGAATATCTCAATCGTATGTGTGTTTTTGGTTTATTTGGATCATCACGTGCTCATGCATGTCAAAATGTAGTTGATATAATTAATCAACTTGATAGAAATGATGAAAATAATGTTACATTTAATGATGATAATACAAATAATGAAAATCATGATATACAAAAACGTTTCTTTTGTAATGGTTTTATTGGTTGTAAACATTCTGGTTGATAAAAAATAAAAAATGAATATTTCAACAATATTTAGAGAACGTAACATAATATATTTATTAATTAAAAAAACATAAAAAGAAATTCGAATTGGTTTTTTTATTAAAGGTTTTCATTAACCATGAGAGATTTTTATTTTTTTTTCATCGTTATCATTATAGTTATTCAAGAAAAAAAAACATAGTCATGTTTCGCTTATGTTCAAGATTAATTGTATTCAATAAATGAGCCATTAAAGAATCAAGAAACATGACTGTATTAAATTTAAAAGAATTATCATAAGCTACAGCGGAAGAAGAATATATTACAAATGAACAATTGTAAGAAATAGAAATACACGAACTAAATATTTTTGTTTCGTGTATAGAAAGATTTTATAAATACTTAAAATTAACCCATTCGATATATAAACAACGAGAGTCGACGAAATTAGAATAAAACAAAAATACTTTATTACACGAAACAAAGAAATGATAATAGATTTGAAAAAAAAACATCTTTGTCGATAACAATCAATGATATCCAGGAAATAATTCAATGAGTTGATAAACTAATTGAGCATTTATATCACAGTATTGTTAAGTTCAACTGATTCTTATTTTATGTTATAAACTCTATTCTTCTTCCAATATTATCATGCCCTTATATAAAATATTTATATAGATTTTACTAATCTAATGACTTATTCAATATTTATATCAATCACAAAAGCTTTTAGTGCAATTCCTTCAGGATTCAAATGTGAAACATGATGTAACTGCTGTTACTAACTACAGAAAGATTATTTTATTTGATCTATTTTGAGAACACATTTCTTCAGACTTCTTCACAAATGTAATTAGGAAGTAGTTTTTATATTATAACAAGACGTCATTGATATACGGTCTATGATCGTTTATATCGACAACGTCTGTCTCAGCCTGTGGATTCAAATTTTGTGTGGATACAAACTTATAAACTATTTTGTTTTTGGTTTTATACCAAATTCAAAAAAACACCCTTACGACAAATACAAAATCTTCTTTACTCCATGAATCTTTCAAAAGATTTTGTGCTTTTCGTACGGATTTTTTTTGAGTTTGGTACGAAATCGAAAAAAAGTTTTCGAGTTTGTATCCCTGCAAATATATTCATTCATTCTTCATTTCGTGTTGCGAATTTCTTTATCAACGAACATCAAAACTTTTCTTTTCTTTTCTTTTGTCTTCTTACCTTTCTTCCTATAGAAATAATTAAGTGTTTGTTTAATGAGGAATCGAGACATCATAGAAGTTTCATACGGACTTGATTAATGTCTTTATCTATTATTCATGTAAAGTAATATTAAGAAAGAAGCAGTCTTCTGAATTTGATTTGTTTGTTGTTAAGTAATTAATTTTATTATTATCTTTCACTCGTTAAATTCAATTGAATGCTTATTTGCACAATCTCTATGGATATTATTCTCTGTGACGTTTCGAAAGGTTAAGCAGTTGTATTCAAATATGAAAATTGCAATACCCATTCATCCATCTCCCTTTTTCTTTGTCTTCCAGATAGACCAAAGTCTAATTTACTCTGTTCTCACACATACTAATTACGTATTGATTCATTACACTCTTGCTACAAAATCTCGGTCAAACTATATACAAGCTGACAAGATGAGCCAGTCGTGCCAAATAATACCATCTCGCCGTAAGATAATACGTTGTATAAGTTGTATGATAACCCAAATTGGCATCACACCAGACGCATCCAGTGTAATTTTTTCTTTAGGCTGGACGATGTGTCAACATTATACTCTTATCTGAATGAATTACATTGCTGTCTAAACTTTTCTCAATCAGTATATAATGTGAGAAGAATAAAACTATGACATTCACAAAACTGGATCGTCGATGATGTCAGATGCCATTCATTACTTTACAAGTGCAATCATTTATATGTTCTCTTTCTAAATCTATCAACAATAGCAAGCGATTTAAATTGCCCAAAAATGACTCGAACTCTATTTATTTGAACTTTTATTGATGTAGTTGTTAATTGGCAGAAACAAGCATATACAGGTTGATTACGTTATTTTTAATAGTTTTGTGCAGTTTGCTATATTTTTGTAAAACATTGGAGGTTTCCTATTTTGATACAGTTGGATAGAGCATACACTACTCTATCGAACCACATAGTTTATATTTTCTTTTCTTTAGTTCTTCTCCAAAAAAATGATAAACCTCGAAAAGCAGTAAAAAAAACTTTTGCACGCACCATGGATGGGCAGGATAAATGGCTGCGTTTTGTGTTTTATTTTTACCTCATCTAAAACGTTTTATTAGAAAGCAAAATATACCAGAAGATGCTGCGTGAAAAGCTCTTCAATCTACAAGGTAATGCTTATTTTAATTGTACACTTTTTGTTTTCAAACAAGGAAAATTCCGTGCGACCAATTTTCACCGGTACAAAAAAATAATTTTTTTCTGCTGTCGTTTTCTAATTTCATATTTTTATCACCTGATATGTCTTCGTAAAAAAAAGCAAACTATATCAGAAGATACAGCGTGAAATGCTCTACAACTTACACGATAAAGCTTATTGTACTTGTTCAAAAAAAAATATTCAGAAATGCTTTGGAACCAATTTTCCTCCTTTTTTGTCTAGATCGAAAACAAAATTTAAAACTATAAAACAAGTGGTCTTGCATAAATTGTAGAGCTTTTCACGTTGCATCTTTTGGTGTATTTTGTTTTCTAATGAAATGTATTAGATGATGCAAAAGAATGCAAAGCATAGTCATTTATCCTGCCCATCCATAGTGCGTGCAAAAGTTTTTTTTACTGCTTTTCGAGATTTATCAATTTTTTTGGAGAAGAACTAAAGAAAAGAAAATGTAAACTATATGGTTCGATAGTGTAGTGGATGCTCTATCCAACTGTACCAAAATAAGAAACCTCCAATGTTTTACAAAAATATAGCAAACTACACAAAACTATTAAAAATAACGTAATCAACCTGTATAGTTATATTTGTTTGTAAATGCATTTACAGTTTTACGTGCTATCCATTGAAATACACAAGATTATTCGCTTCTTATCATCATGAACTATATAAATAGATATCCTTTTCAGAATAATTATTTTTGTTAAAATGTGAGTGTACATTAAATGGTTTTTTAACTGTTATCACAGTCTAATGATACGTTGATTTTCGAGATCGATTCTATATGGTGATTAATTAACTATATTCATATGCAGCATTAGTTTAAATGTACACTGTAATTTTTGAAGTACTTGAATAATCGATCAATATATTAGTTGAAATTACTTACGTATGACCTGTCTGATTCAAAATCGATCAATATATTGATTAAATTTTTCCATATGACATTCACTAAGGATTAATGACACACCACAACAATTTAATTTTACAATAATATCTGCTATCGATCAACTTGATGCAATCATAAGGTATCATCAAATAAAATCATTATTATTATTATTATTTAAAAATATCAATTCAACAAACGATAAATTCAAATAATTCTTATTTTGTTTAAAAATGACTTTCTTTTAAATTTCGAAGTCCGATTTCCCTCTGTTTTTTTTTTGTTTCGACGTTAATTCTATTTTTGCTTTGTTTCTGTTGTTGCTACCTCAATGATTCCCTTCTCGTATTTGTTTTTCTATTAATAAGTGTTTTCTTGTATTCTCTGTGCTTAATTTTGTAATGCAGAGTCCTGATGTACGCCGGCAAATCGCACTCTGAATTTCTATAATTCTTCTAATAAAAGCACACTAATGTTATCATTCAATTGTTATTTAACTTTCGAGCTAGTCGATTGCTGACAAGCAAAAGCTGCGACTAGCAGCAGATTCAACTTGTCTTGTCTTCAAGAAATAGATTGATCTGTTTTCGATTGTTTTACATACACCTGCATCCACCTTTTCTGAGTAACTGCCTAATTCGAATTCGAAAATAAATGAAAATTTCGAAATCACATCAGTACCCGTGCCGCAAAAAGCACAAAATAAAATTTTATTTGAGTTATAGTTTATAATATGAGTAGAGTCTATCATCCTTTGAGAATCAGTTATGTAAATATCAAATCGTTACAAGTTTTCCACTTATTTTTGAATTCTCAGCTATTCATTCGTCGGTTCCCACAGCAAGTGTGACACTTCGTCTGTACGTTGTCGTGTATTTCCATGATGCTTATCACTCTCCTTGATAGCGATGGCCATATCTCATATCTCGGTTGTCATGATAAGTTCAGACTTCAAAAGGTCATTTCATTGTGGCAAATCATGTACTTTCCATAAGTTCTTTTGTTTCAGGAGAATCGTTTAATTTGAGCAAAACCATCCAATCGTTGGAAAATCGTATGAGAGATCAAATGCCTTAGACATCCTCATGGTTACATGGATATAATGAAAGAGTTACTAGACCCGTTTCGGGATTTCAAAGATATCCTGCAATATTTCTTACAAATGTGACGGAATTCTTTAGATCACCTGCAGCATTCTCTATACGTGGCACTGGTTTTCCTAGACAATTTATAGGATTTCGTAGATATGCTAGAGGATTCCTCAGACATCCTACAGGATCGCTCAGTCATGATACAGGAGGCCTAAGGCATGCTTCTGAAGCTCTGGTACATCGTGCAAGGTTTCTACTCACGGAACATGATAATTAAGACATTCTACAGGTTTCTCATGATGTGCTACGGGAGTCCCTACACGCCCTGTAGAATTACTTAGACATGTTAATCATTTATTCAACATATGTTGAACAGACCTTTACAACATATCATTTTCACTAAAAACTTTGCGATCATCTCAATAACATATAAGACACATCTGGTTTTTAAAAAATATCTCACTTACTATACATTAAACATATCCAAGAGTATCTCAGTTTAAAATGTGTGTCACTGCTATATTACCCAAAAATCCTGCTTGATCAATTAAAGACTTCAAATACAATGAAATATGCAAAAAAAAACATATTCAAAACTTCAACATAAAGTTCAA